AAACTGTTAACTTATTATACTTAAACCAATTAGATAAATGTCTGAGTTCAGCGATATCATAGTTAGAAATCGGAGATAAAGACATCAAGTTGGCAAATCAAAAGATAGTAAACTACCAATAGTTTTGAAGTTATTAAATTACACACTCGCGGAAAGTGTGGATTTTTCCTTCACACCGGTGTATAGCTATCACTCCTAGACACAAGTGTGGAGTTATTTTGCAAATAACTCCACACTTCTGTGCAGAAGTTGATTAAAAAAAGTTATTTACCACAAAAATGTGCAAAATAACCCCACACTTGTGTCAAGGAGTGATAGCTACACACCGGTGTGGAGGAAAACTCCACACTTTCCGCGAGCGTGTACCAAGACAGAAACAAAATTTTAAACGTCGTTAGAAACTCGCGTGGAATGGTGTATTTATTAATGAAGATTTTGCGAAGGAAACTATTGAGAAGTCGTAAAATTTTATGGGAGGAAGTAAAAATACTACGAAGTGAAGGCAAGTATGCTGTTTTAAATTATGATTAAAAAGAAATTTTTCTAAAAATAAATGCTCCTAAAAAAGAAGCATGACTTGGACTAGTGATATTGAATCTATAAGTTTCAACTTTTCTAATGTAAATACTAATGAAAATATAAAACCCGATAATAATTTATTTCACGACACGCTTATGGATTGCTCATATCACTATCCAAGCAAATTAGAAGGGTTTCTCTTTAAAAATGTTTGCGACAAAAGTTTAAATAAAATTAGAATTGTCCACGTACACATTACCCAAACGATTATAGTTGATAACAAACATATATACGAATCAAGAGCTATAGCTCATAAATTTAATAAATTCTTTGTTGACATTGATCCCAAACGAAATTCCTTACACAAATGCTACATTTAGAGATTTTTTAGTTCAAGTGGATAATTGCACATCTTCCAACGAATTATTTTCTGAAGTATCTTTTCAAGTGTTTGAAAAAGCTTTCAAAACTCTAAAAAAAAATCAACCGGAGCAGATGTTTTAATCGGTAGTATAGTCAAAGAATGTTTTGAATACTTAAAAGATACCTTATTTAAAGTCTATGGAGCATCTATACGCCACGGAGTTTTTCCTGAACAACTAAAAATTACTAAAGTTACTCCAATTTTAAAAGAATTTCTGTCCAATTTTTGTCCTCTCAACATTTTCAAAAATACGTATTATGTAATATAGATTATACAATTATCTTCATTCTAATAATTTTTTATACAAATATCAATTCGGCTTTAAAAGAAATACTTTCACAGAACACGCAGTTATCCAATTTGTACGTGAAATCTCTAATTGTTTTGAAAAGTCTAAATATACATTAGGTGTTTTTATCGACCTTTTGAAAGCATTCAATACTGTCGATCATGAAATTTTATTGCACTAGCTAAAATATTATAGAATAAATTGCAAAGCTATAAAATGGTTCAAAAATTATCTATCCAACCGTAAACAATTTGTTTTCAGCAATATGATCATCCAAATAAGTTTATAAATATTTCATTTTGCGTTCCACAAGGTTCCATTTCGGGACCACTATTGTTCTTGATTTATATAAACAACTTAAATAAAGCCTTAAATTTAATGAGTATTATGTTTGCTGATGACATTAACTTATTCTTTTCCGATAATGACATTTACACACTTTTCTATACTATAAATGATGAATTTAAAAGTATATCCAAATGGTTTAAATGCAACAAACAAACTCTTAACATTAAAAAAACTAATTGGGTTTCCACCCAGTCAAAAAAAAGTTTATTAAGAAATTTAGTTTACTTAGAAACAATAATTTTATATATGATCCTTTTGTCGAACCAAGTTTAATCAGTTTTGTATTGCATATCGTGCACCCTATATTTGGAAGGAAATTGTTTTTTCAAATTTCGACATAAATTTTACTTTTCCTATTTTCAAATATAAACTGAAAAATTTAATTATCTTAATGGATGATGTTGTCAGGTTTTTTTAATTGTAATTTTAAATTTTTTTGAAACTTTTATTGTTAACTACGTTTTATTTTGTTGATTATGTTTTGATGTAGTGTATATACACACGCAATTTACAATTTTTAGGTGAATACAAATTGTATATTGTGATTTTTCGAATGACTGAGATTTCACGTTTAAATTGGATAATTGCATATTCAGTTGAGTTATTTTTCTTGAAACCAAACTGATTTATGTATAAAGTAGATTATTATCATGAAAATATTTGTATATTCTGTTGAACATGATTTTTTCTAGAATTTTCGAAAATGTAGAGATAACAGAGATGGGCGATAATTACTAATTTCTTGATTGTCCCCTTATTTAAAAGTATGAATAATTTTTGCAATTTATTATTGTTCTGAGAACACTCCTTGATGGATAGAAGCTCTAAAGATTAAAATAAAAATAACATTAAGTTGTTCTTTAAACAGTTTAAACAGTGTTTATAAGTTTGTGAAGACAGATACTGTTAGACTTTTTAAAATTATATTATTCGAATGCGCAATGACACCAAATAAATATTGATTAAATTTATCTGCAAATTCCTTTACATAATAAATAACATGTGACAGCAATCTGTTTTAATCAATAATGATAAAATAATTGATAATCATACAACTGTGAACCACTTTCAAAGCTAAATCAATCAAGTTTTATAGTTATTTTAATTAAAGCACTACAGATATTAGGGCTGGTGAACGTAGTTCTTAATTGGGGAAGGGGCTTTTAAGGTTATTTGCCCGGAAAAAAAAAAGGTCATCTAACTCCACAATTTAAGAAATAGTGATACATATCCTAACTCTCATTTTGCCGATTGAATCCTAAAAAATATCCCAATTGAAAGAAGATACAAAAATGTCCCAATTTGCCGACTGATGGTATAAAAATTAATTGATTGGGGAGTGAGCTTTTTCTGGTTTTTTTATAGCGCCGGTCTTAGATATCAGTTTGATTTCTTCTTGGTTTTGTATAAATTTGAAAGCGCTGCCTTATGGAATTTTTTTTATGTTTGTCTATGCTTCAATGTTAACATTGTTTTCAACATAGAACATCTATGTTATTGTTCTATGTTAAGATTATTTTTTGTAGAAAAAAAAATCTTAACATAGAAACATAGACAAACATAAAAAAAATAAATATAAATTTAAAATAAATAAATTTTAAATAAATAATAAAAATAAATAAATAATAAAAATGTTTGACTAAGCTTCTATTTTTAGCTTAGTCAAACATTTTGAAAAAGACAACAATTTACTAATTAAAATTTATTAATTAAAATACAATTTTTTAAAGCATGATAGAAAATAAAAAAGTTGTAAAATAATGCCTTATTGCTAACTGGACATAAGTTAATAGATGCCTCAAGATAAACATCGGTCAGTTGGGCATTCTGCTTTGTGTTAGACAACTTGGAAAAAAACTAATGTTTGTTAAAAATGAAAATATGCTTTTTCGCCTTATAACCCTCAAAATATAATTTAGGCTGATTTTCTGGAAATGAGTTAATTGTTTTAAACTAATTTTAACAAAAGTTCAAATGGAATTTAACGTTTGGTTAAATTCAGATAGAGTTTTTTTATACTTAAGAGTATGTACTTTTAACTTTGTCGATTTCGAAAATGTTATCTTGTTTATAAATATAAAAAAAAAAAAAAAAAAAAAAAAGTTAAGTTTTTAATAGAGTGGGGCACAATGAAACACTTTTTGTTTTTGCTTCGTAATAATTATTTTAATACGCCATTCTTTCGGCGCTTGGTTTAGCTAGATGAATATATTCCAACAAAATTAAATTTATTAATTACTAAAATATAACAGATTAAACTTGTGAGATTATTTAAACTAAAATTTGAAATTTGTATTATAGTACCCCACCTATAAGGTACCACGATACAAACTATGAGCATCATTAAAAAATTAAATAAAAAGTATAAAAAGTTGAGAAAAATTTTTTACTTGAAAGACAAACAAATTGATAGTTGTAACGCAGATAATGCATTCAATGGTTCCAAATCGCATTTCAGAAATCCAGATAATATATTGTTTTAAATGTCATTCGTAAGCGTCAATAAATACTTTGTATCGAAACTGAATCGCCTAGTATTATATTTACATAAATCTCATGAAAATCCCCCCCCCCCCCCCACAAATGCTGTATCAAGTTACCCCATACTTGCTGATAGAAAACAATTGCTTTATTTTTAGTATTAACCCCATTTTACAATAACTTTGTTTAACAAAGTAAAACAAAATGGATTTTAGTTTATAAAATAATGTTACTTACCGATGGGCAAATTAAACAACATAACTTAAAACTTAAGCTTGGTTTCCAATAGTTGGGATATAATAGAAATGTCGTACAACAGTGTTTTATAATGGAGACATTTTCTTGGGTAAGTTGCGCAACTTAATATCGATTGTACGACAAAATTTACGTTGTAAGGTTGCGGAAATAAAATCAAATCAATTTCGTCAACAATTGCTGAACAACTAAAACGCACAAATGTTGTACAACATTTCTACAAATATCGGAAACCAAGCTTTAGCAAATTTAAAAAGTAATAAATTACTTTGCCATCAAAAAAACACTAATTTCGTTTCCTCGCAGGCCTAATGATGTCAAATGATTTTTTTTTAAACATTTTTTTCAATACCTAGTTCAAGTAGTAACTGTTTCATTTGAAATTAGTTGTCACAACTCTAAAGATGTCTCCACAATTAAAATGTTTCATGGTCACTCTCCCCTAACTAAAAAGTTTTTTTTTTTTTTGAAATAGTTTTCTCACTCTCTTCTAAACAAATTATTTAATGAATCCTGACTTTTAGTCCTGCTATTTATTTCTTGCTATTTAAAAAAAAAAGAAAAATTGCGATCCATCAATGCTCCTGAAAAAAACTGAAGAAATAAAATACATATGCTTAAGCAATCTTTTTATCCCGTATTTCGTTTATTTAGATTAACATTTTCGAAGAATAAAACAAAATATCCAAAAATCAAACAAAATATATTTAAAAAAACACGAATAAATTAGTTATACAAAATAACGTTGTCGACAAAAAAAATTGCTAAGAATGAAACAATATCGTTAATAAAGAAACAGCATTGTTAAGAAAGAAGCAGTTAAGAAATAGCATGATAACAAAAATAAACAAATTTAAACAGTGTTCAGACTTAATAATGAAATCATCATCTGACATCTAGGCTAGTTAAATACTTTAAAATGGTAAAAAAAAAACTTTTTGATTTTTCAATGCAAACTATGTAAAAAAGAATTCTTCGTTTTAAGAATATATTGTGACGACTTCATCACCACTCCCTCTCACTAGCAGTACACGACCAATACCTTCTGTCAAGACCTCTATAAATTCCATGTCTTTAATTAATGTTAAGAAAAACTATATCAACTTTGGAAAAAATATCGCGCCAACTAATGAATATTTTTACGGCACCGGAATGAACATTTTGTTCATTAAAGCACAATAAATCAACAACAAAAAAAAAATTATGTAAAAAAATAATAATGTAATTTTGTAATCTTCAGTTTAGTGTTAATAGTATTTTCTTTTTAATATTAAAATAGTTTAATATTATTTTATTATATTGATATTAATATCAATTATATTGATATTAATATCAATATAATAAAGTAATATTAATCTATCAATATAATAATATATATCAAGTTCATGTACATTTATATTAAAATTTCCTACAAGTTCAGGTGCATTTATATTAAAATTTTTGTTAGATTTGATCAATTTTGATTTAATTTTTTATTTCTGATCTGCAATTACTTTTTGTTTTAAGCTATGTTGGCAATATTTATATGAAAACCACTAATATTAGAGGGGTATCAGTTTTTCGTATTTTTAAACAAAAAAAATTTAGAAATAAATTGTAAAAATATTTTTAGTTGTATTAAGTATCTTTATAAAGGAGATGTATTTTTGTTGACAATGATTTCTTGAGAACTTTTGTTAAACCCCAAAAGTCGTCATATGTATTGAACCACACACTTATCCATATTTTAGTGTAACCAATTATTTCTTTTGACATCACCGACCCTATGACAGCTGACACTATTAAATATTTTCAAAAAGCCTTAAGTTAAACAAACAAAAGTTATCTCATTTTCTTTATATTTCATATTTACATCATACAAAATATTTCGGCAATGCTACATTGTCATTAAATTTTATGTGCTTAAAATTTATCGACTGATCGAAACATTTTGCATGATTTAAATTTTGTGAAAAATCATAAAATCAATAAGAACATTTTGGATATTTTAGGATTAATAGGTTTAGGATATTTGAGCAATATCCTAAAGGATTGGACAAAGTTAATCTTGTTATGTTAACTTTGGTTATTTGTTTTTTTATTGAAAAAAAGCTAACACTGCCATTTAAAATTGTTGAAGCATTCAACACTGTTGTAGTAATAAACATTGTTTTAGCATTTAACACTGTTGTGGCATTCAATACTGTTGTAGTAATAAACGTTGTTGTAGCATTCAACACTGCTGTAGCATTCAACACTGTTGTGCCTTATCAAATTATAAAGTTTATTTTATTCAATTTTTATGTCACAAAATCATTATAAAATTATGATGAAAAGATACACATATCTTGTTTAGTATCTGCACTAGGAAGTGGTAGGTTGATTAGTACAAGACGGGCATTTTGGGATTTTTCAACTACTAGCTTATTTAATTTAATTGCAGTATCCATTCTGCGTACATTAGACTCATTTCTAAGTGTAAAAATGAACAAAGATTCAATATAAAACTATAAAAATTAAAAATATAAAACTATAAAAATTAAAATAAATTCATAAATTCATAATTCAATTGTATAGTAATATAAACTTATTAAACAAACTCATAAGTTTATATTACTATACAATTGGTTACCAGCAAGTTTTGGTATTTGGAGAAAATTTATAAGAAGTTTATAAGAAAATAAGAGATATAACTTCTAGCTATCTTATTTGAAAAATAAGTTTGAAAAACCAACATAAATAAATAAAAAACCGTTTTAAAGACGCCATTTTTTGTAGAATTACAATAATATGTGTTATTAAAAATACGTAAACGTAAACAAAACTAAAACTTTCAAACGGTTTATTTATTTTTTTCCTGCATTAATTTAAAGTTTTCAAGCTAAAAACTTAAATGTTTTTTTTTTTTTAAACTTAAATACAAAAATATCTAAATTTTTTTTTTAATAAATGTTAATCTAAACCCAAATATATTGCAACCATATTTTTTTATAACTTTTTATTTACATTAGTTCATCTAATTATGTAAAACTATCCATTTTTGGAGGACCCAACCTTGTATAAAAATTCAAAAAATTAAAAAATAAATTATTTACGTTTCATTATATAAAAAAAACAAGGAAAAATGTTATACATCAACATTCTTTTTAAGAATTCGTTAATTATAACTCATGTTTCATAAAGAATTATATGTAAAAATAAATAAATCAAAATAAGATAGAGTCGAGAAAACTTGCAACTTTCAAATTATCAACATTATAGTTTCATAGTTTCAAAGGTACTCCCTCTTAAAGCGATTGATTTTTCTAACAAAAGTTGAAAGTCGCTGGTGTCTACTATACAATTATTAAGTGTTATATTTTTTTAATTCGATTTTAATTTCATTAAATTTTCATTTATTTTATTTCATTTTAAACTTTTACTATATAATTTCATATTAGCTTTTGTGTCTATTTTGTGAAGTGTTTATTGATTTAAAGTGAATCAAAAAGTGAGTACTTTGTGTTTATATTTTAAGGGGATTTTGTACTTAAAGTAATTTTAGAACAAGAAATGTAATTAACCAAGCAAAGAAAAATCAAACAAGAAAATGTAATCAATCAATCAAATATAAACAAACAATCAAATGCAATTAATCAATCAAATGTAATCACTAGTTTAAATTTCAAAACAAAAATTTATGTTCTAGATAACTCATACTCTAGATAATTCATACTCTAATAACTCATACTCTAGATAACTCATACTCTTGATAACTTATACTCTAGATAACTCATACTCTAGATAACTTATACTCTAGATAACTCATACTCTAGATAACTTATACTCTAGATAACTCATACTCTAGATAACTTATACTTTAGATAACTCATAATCTAGATAACTTATACTCTAGATAACTTATACTCTAGATAACTTATACTCTAGATAAAACATACTCTAGATAACTTATACTCTAGAAACTCATACTCTAGATAACTTATACTCTAGATAACTTATACTCTAAATAACTCATACTCTAGATAACTTATACTCTAGAAACTCATACTCTAGATAACTTATACTCTAGATAACTTATACTCTAAATAACTCATACTCTAGATAACTTATACTCTAGGTAACTCAGACTCTAGATAACTTATACTCTAGATAACTTATACTCTAGATAACTCATACTCTAGATAACTTATACTCTAGATAACTTGTACTCTAGATAACTCATACTCTAGATAACTCATACTCTAGATAACTTATACTCTAGATAACTCATACTCTAGATAACTTATACTCTAGATAACTTATACTCTAGATAACTCATACTCTAGATAACTCATACTCTAGATAACTCATACTCTAGATAACTTATACTCTAGATAACTCATACTCTAGATAACTCATACTCTAGATAACTTATACTCTAGATAACTCATACTCTAGATAACTTAAACTCTAGATAACTCATACTCTAGAAAACTTATACTCTAGATAACTCATACTCTAGATAACTTATACTCTAGGTAACTCATACTCTAGATAACTTATACTCTAGATAACTTATACTCTAGATAACTCATACTCTAGATAACTTATACTCTAGATAACTTGTACTCTAGATAACTCATACGCTAGATAACTCATACTCTAGATAACTTATTCTCTAGATAACTCATACTCTAGATAACTTATACTCTAGATAACTTATACTCTAGATAAAACATACTCTAGATAACTTATACTCTAGATAACTGATACTCTAGATAACTTATACTCTAGATAACTTATACTCTAGATAACTCATACTCTAGATAACTTGTACTCTAGATAACTCATACTCTAGATAACTCATACTCTAGATAACTTATACTCTAGATAACTCATACTCTAGATAACTTATACTCTAGATAACTTATACTCTAAATAACTCATACTCTAGATAACTTATACTCTAGATAACTCATACTCTAGATAACTCGTACTCTAGATAACTCGTACTCTAGATATTTATACTCTAGATAACTCATACTCTAGATAACTTATACTCTAGATAACTTATACTCTAGATAACTCATACTCTAGATAACTCATACTCTAGATAACTCATACTCTAGATAACTCATACTCTAGATAACTTATACTCTAGATAACTCATACTCTAGATAACTTATACTCTAGATAACTTATACTCTAGATAACTCATACTCTAGATAACTCATACTCTATATAACTCATACTCTAGATAACTTATACTCTAGATAACTCATACTCTAGATAACTCATACTCTAGATAACTTATACTCTAGATAACTCATACTCTAGAAAACTTATACTCTAGATAACTCATACTCTAGGTAACTCATACTCTAGATAACTTATACTCTAGATAACTTATACTCTAGATAACTCATACTCTAGATAACTTATACTCTAGATAACTTGTACTCTAGATAACTCATACTCTAGATAACTCATACTCTAGATAACTTATTCTCTAGATAACTCATACTCTAGATAACTTATATTCTAGATAACTTATACTTTAAATAACTCATACTCTAGATAACTTATACTCTAGATAACTCATACTCTAGATAACTCATACTCTAGATAACTCATACTCTAGATAACTTATACTCTAGACAACTCATACTCTAGATAACTTATACTCTAGATAACTTATACTCTAAATTACTCATATTCTAGATAACTCATACTCTAGATAACTCATACTCTAGATAACTCATACTCTAGATAACTTATACTCTAGATAACTTGTACTCTAGATAACTTATACTCTAGATAACTTATACTCTAGATAACTTATACTCTAGATAACTTATACTCTAGATAACTTATACTCTAGATAACTCATACTCTAGATAACTTATACTCTAGATAACTTATACTCTAGATAACTCATACTCTATATAACTCATACTCTAGATAACTCATACTCTAGATAACTTATACTCTAGATAACTCATACTCTAGATAACTCATACTCTAGATAACTTATACTCTAGATAACTCATACTCTAGATAACTTAAACTCTAGATAACTCATACTCTAGAAAACTTATACTCTAGATAACTCATACTCTAGGTAACTCATACTCTAGATAACTTATACTCTAGATAACTTATACTCTAGATAACTCATACTCTAGATAACTTATACTCTAGATAACTTGTACTCTAGATAACTCATACTCTAGATAACTCATACTCTAGATAACTTATTCTCTAGATAACTCATACTCTAGATAACTTATACTCTAGATAACTTATACTTTAAATAACTCATACTCTAGATAACTTATACTCTAGATAACTCATACTCTAGATAACTCATACTCTAGATAACTTATACTCTAGACAACTCATACTCTAGATAACTTATACTCTAGATAACTTATACTCTAAATTACTCATACTCTAGATAACTCATACTCTAGATAACTCATACTCATACTCTAGATAACTCATACTCTAGATAACTTATACTCTAGACAACTCATAATCTAGATAACTTATACTCTAGATAACTCATACTCTAGATAACTTATACTCTAGATAACTTATACTCTAGATAACTTATACTCTAGATAACTTATACTCTAGATAACTTATACTCTAGATAACTTATACTCTAGATAACTTATACTCTAGATAACTTATACTCTAGATAACTTATACTCTAGATAACTCATAGTCTAGATAACTTATACTCTAGATAACTCATACTCTAGATAACTTATACTCTAGATAACTTATACTCTAGATAACTTATACTCTAGATAACTTATACTCTAGATAACTTATACTCTAGATAACTTATACTCTAGATAACTTATACTCTAGATAACTTATACTCTAGATAACTTATACTCTAGATAACTCATAGTCTAGATAACTTATACTCTAGATAACTTATACTCTAGATAACTCATACTCTAGATAACTCATACTCTAGATAACTCATACTCTAGATAACTTATACTCTAGATAACTCATACTCTAGATAACTCATACTCTAGATAACTCATACTCTAGATAACTTATACTCTAGATAACTCATAGTCTAGATAACTCATACTCTAGATAACTTATACTCTAGATAACTTATACTCTAGATAACTTATACTCTAGATAACTTATACTCTAGATAAATTATACTCTAGATAACTTATACTCTAGATAACTCATAGTCTAGATAACTTATACTCTAGATAACTTATACTCTAGATAACTCATACTCTAGATAACTCATACTCTAGATAACTCATACTCTAGATAACTCATACTCTAGATAACATATACTCTAGATAACTTATACTCTAAATAACTCATACTCTAGATAACTTATACTCTAGATAACTCATAGTCTAGATAACTCATACTCTAGATAACTTATACTCTAGATAACTTAAACTCTAGATAACTTATACTCTAGATAACTCATACTCTAGATAACTCATACTCTAGATAACTCATACTCTAGATAACTTGTACTCTAGATAACTTATACTTTAAATAACTCATACTCTAGATAACTCATACTCTAGCTAACTCATACTCTAGATAACTTATACTCTAGATAACTCATACTCTAGATAACTCATACTCTAGATAACTCATACTCTAGATAACTTATACTCTAGATAACTTATACTCTAAATAACTCATACTCTAGATAACTTATACTCTAGATAACTCATAGTCTAGATAACTCATACTCTAGATAACTTATACTCTAGATAACTCATACTCTAGATAACTCATACTCTAGATAACTCATACTCTAGATAACTTATACTCTAGATAACTCATACTCTAGATAACTTATACTCTAGATAACTCATACTCTAGATAACTTATATTCTAGATAACTTATAATCTAGATAACTCATACTCTAGATAACTCATACTCTAGATAACTTATACTCTAGATAACTCATACTCTAGATAACTTATACTCTAGATAACTCATACTCTAGATAACTTATATTCTAGATAACTTATAATCTAGATAACTCATACTCTAGATAACTCATACTCTAGATAACTCATACTCTAGATAACTTATACTCTAGATAACTTATACTCTAGATAACTCATACTCTAGATAACTTATACTCTAGATAACTCATACTCTAGATAACTCATGCTCTAGATAACTTATACTCTAGATAACTTATATTAACTGATCCTCCCTCATAAAAATAGTTTGAGCACAGTTTGAAAATAATTTTTCCACATGTGGAAAAATTAGTAAAAGATGCTATATTATTGAAATAAAGCATATTATAATAAAATCCTCCTATAGCTTCAAGGGATTTTTTTTGCTGTTTATGTATGCTATTTTGTATATATGAATTTTATGTATGCTAGGTTTTTTTCTATCGGCTCTTCAGAAAACTCTAAATGATAAAAAAGAACTATAAATTTTTGATATAAAAGTATTCATCTATCCCCTATAACAAAGGACAAATACATTAGGCACATAAGTTTGCCACTGACAGTCTAACTACCCAGTCAGAAAAATGATACATTATTTCATGTATGTGATTTTATGTCTAAAATAAACCAAATTTTAAAATGAATTCATGTGCATAACACTATACTAAAAAAGTTTTGAAAACTCAATAAAAAACTTATAACCCTACTTACGGCTTCTGAGGTGTTTTGGAAGAGAGATTATCCAACTCAAACTTAAGCATTTCTGCATTTTTTGTACAACTTTCATCGCTCGAAACTTCATGTGATTTTGAAATATGACTATTATCAAGACTTGAAACTTCATGTGATTTTGAAACATGACTATTATCAAGGATCATTTGTGCCTAAGGAATTTATATAAAAAAATTATGCAGAAAAGATAAAGATATAAATTATTTTAGATAAAGATGTAAACTATTTAATCTAACATAATACCTGCAATTTGTTTGCTCTTCGTGACAAATTCATTTTATTCATTAATTCCCTGCGTTGTTCTGCTTTTAATGTGCGTTCGTAGGTGTAAGCTGATATATCACTGTCTTCCTACAGAAAATTTTAAAGATTTTGCCTGAGATTTATTAACATATTATCTTTCAAAATTTCAAAAAAAAAACAATAACACAACATTAACACAATAATAATAAATAAACACAATTTTTTTAAACTGATTTACTCCCAACAAGGCTGCAAGCTATTAAAGCTGGCAGTTACAAGAAAACAAAGAATAATGTTAAATAGCAAGAAATGGTTGAATGACTAAAGACTGTAATAAGTTCCGAAGCTGTAAATTGAATAAATCTGGAAAATATGAAGATGGGAGAGAGTTCTATAGCATTGATGTGTATTGAAAAAACTAGAGTCACATGAGAATAATGTAACTTGTTGAATTAAAATATTGAAATGTTTAATGGAACAAGTGATTGACAGCTTGTTTGAATCATTATAGCGATTGTAGAAAAAAAAAAGAAATGCAACCTTATGACGATGAGACAGTGGCTTTAGCTTGGCAGATAAAGCAGGATTTTTTTTGGCAAGACTGGAGTATATTCAATATTAACAATATGTTTTTGAATCTTGTCTAGAAGAGAAAGATCATCACTAGAAAAACTACCCCATATATGACTACAGTATTCCATACAAAGAAGAATAAGAAATTTGTAATTATAGAGGTTGAAATCAGGAGTAAGAAAATGGTAGACACAAAAAAGAGATGAAAAAATGGCTGCACTCTTTCTGAGAATTTAACTCAGTAAGAGTGTAGTCGTTTATCAATAAAGGATACATATAATATTGACATTATTGCAACAATTAAGTTTTGTTTAAGTTAAATTTCACAAGCCAAGTAGGCTCAAACTGTAACAGAATAGAAATTTGATTCAAGATTCCTGTTCCCAAATGTTTTAAATAAAAGTAGTTGGGTGGCCAGTAAGTAGAACCACTTTATATGAAAGATTTTAAGGAAGATCATTAATCAAGATAAAAATGAAGACACTGAACACAAACGGTCGGAGACTATAAAGAAGTTGTAATGTTTCAATCAAGATCAAATGAAGACACTGAACACAAACGGTCGGAGACTATAAAGAAGTTGTAATGTTTCAATCAAGATCAAATGAAGACACTGAACACAAACGGTCGGAGACTATAAAGAAGTTGTAATGTTTCAATCAAGATCAAATGAAGACACTGAACACAAACGGTCGGAGACTATAAAAAAGTTGTAATGTTTCAATCAAGATCAAATGAAGACACTGAACACAAACGGTCGGAGACTAGAGACGAAGTTGTAATGTTGACAATCTGAGTAAGAGACATTCGGCTTTAGTGTCGATAATCAGTGCGCAAGCATTTAGTGTCGATAATCAGTGTGCAAACATTAACTAACAACAATAACAACAATATTGGCTGAAGGATAAAGTGAAAAGGCTTTGTCAATTTGATCAGAAATAACATCAAAGAGAGTGCAGTCGTGAGAGTGCAAAACAGATAAAAGCACATAAAAGAATACTTAGAGGATTCACCACAAATAGATGAAATGATGCATAAGTGTATAAACCCAAGCATGTGACAATTGAAGTCTTTTCAAATCAAAGGATAATAACTATCAACACTGAGATTCAAAAAAAATCAGCTGAGCTTAAATTAGTCTCACAAAGAGCTGCTAAACTTAAATTAGTCTCACAAAGAGCAAGTCTGATCGATTTTACAT